AGAACAGTGTGCCTTTATATAGTATCATGCCTTCATTTAACTGTATGCCTTCATACTTAGTGCTGGGAATTGGTCAAAATCTCATAATTGATGATTGGTTCATTACAACCGATCAATCATCGAAAATAATTGGTTAGCATCATTTATTAAATTTTCCTGATTATTTTTGTTAATGGACAAAACAAATATAGAAAAAAAACTGTAGTTCTTTGGTGTTTTTGCAAAATGCACAAAAGGCATTGGCAAATTTCACATCTTTAAAGGATGACTAGTAAGTTAGGAACACTAATTTCTTGGAGTCTTGAAGATAAATTCAACCATGACTTGGAACCAGCTAGTAGTGGTCATGAAATGTAACAGACAAAACCAACCTTGTGAAAATATTGTTAATGCAAACAAGTGTTCTAGAATTGTTTGTGTTCGTTTATGAGAAAACATGATCGAGTGCTTGGTCGTTTAGTCACTGCGACCAATCTTCGATTATTTCAATTAATCAGACCACCACTACTTCATACAGTATCATGCCTTCATAGAACAGTGTGCCTTCATAACATGTCATGCCTTCATAGAACAGTAAGCCTTCATACAGTATCATGCCTTCATAGAACAGTGTGCTTTCATACAGTGTCATGCCTTCATAGAACAGTGTGCCTTCATACAGTGTCATGCCTTCATAGAACAGTGTGCCTTCATACAGTGTCATGCCTTCATAGAACAATGTGCCTTCATTCAGTGTCATGCCTTCATAGAACAGTGTGCCTTTATATAGTATCATGCCTTCAGAGATTACATAGCCTTTACATACAGAAACTGCTTTCATAGAACAGTGTGCTTCATACAGTGAGTGAGTAAATTTAGTTTTATGCTGCACTCAGCAATATTCCAGCTATATGGTGGCGGTCTGTAAATAATCAAGTCTGAACCAAACAATCGAGTAATCAACAGCATGAGTATGGATCTAAGCATTTGGTAAATGATGACATGTGTCAACCAAGTCAGCGAAACTCACCACTTGATGCCGTTAGTTGCCTCTTATGACAAGCATGGGTTACTGAAGATCAATTCTAACCAAGGTTTTCATGGGTGTGCTTCATACAATGTCACCCATGAAGATCCATGAAGATACAATGTCATGCCTTCATGAACTGTCCTGCCTTCATGGTCTTTTCTATTTCTATCTAGAAAAACAGTTCTACCCAGAAGACTATTCTCACTCACTCACTCACTCACTCACTCACTCACTCACTCACTCACTCACTCTCACTCACTCCACACACATATACATGACAAGATATGTATGTCTACAGAGCCAGCGACACACTGGTACAGCTGACACCAACCTGTGCACTGGCTCTTCAGTTATTTGTATGCCAGCTCGAAGTATTCGTGATCTAAACAAGGTCATGTGGTGTATCTGTCTGAAGAACACTTCTGCAGTAGCACTGGTTTCATCTTGTATTACAGGTTTCATGGATATGCTCATAGAGGTTGTTTAAATGCTCTTTCGAGGTAGAAAAAAAGCTTTTTTGTGATTATTACCACATCTTTCAAAGCTCTGACAAATCTTTACTTTCAGAAGGAAAATGCTCTTCATTCTCTGAAGTTTTCATGTGATTTGTGGTTTCAAAAAGACATGAAAGTTAAGAACTTTGTCTGGCATAAGAAATAATTTTTATTCCAAAAATGTCAAATGTCTGATATTAAAACATGTCACAGTTTTGGGGGAGTTAGCTCTAATATGGCAAATCCCTTCAGTGCAAACAAGCAGACAAATGAATCTCTGCAGCTTAAACTGCACGCAATGTTAGTGTGTAGGTAATTCCGCCAGCATTAATTACAGACTATTAGCAATATTTATGTACAGGAGTAAATTAAACCTGTCTGTTCATCATGTTGGGAAGAAGCAATCATCGTTATATAAAAGACAATATTATATAGTTTTTGCAGTGTACAGAACAGGAGTAACAACCATAGGATGGTTAGCATGATATTTATTTATACATCATGGTACAATTTTATCATTTGATGGTATTGATTTTTGTATTGTCAAGCAGACAGCGTGTATGTTGGCTGTTGTTGATTTCTGTTTGGATATTTATTCAGTTGGTGTTTATTCATTTTATTTCTATTAGCGACAGTTTAGAAATGGGAGTACTAGTGGCACAGTTCCTGCAGGCAGTTCTTGTACTGCTTTTGAACTGCATTTGGTCTTGTTAGTACAAGAGACTACTGTGACCACATTGTATGTGTAAGGACAATGGACTGTGATACAGACCTGGGCAGAATTAACTTCTCTTGCGGGATTAGATCCTTACTGCTGTGCCCATGTTCTTGCCTCAAAGCTCCTGAACCGCATAATTTTCTCTCCTGCCAAGCCCTTTCTGCAATGGTGAAGCCCTAAGTGAAGCAAGACTCAGGTTTCCTCAGGTTCTGAATTTCCCTTCTCTCTGGTGCTCCTTTGCAATTGGAATTGTTTGTTCCTATTATATAGATTCAGAGTCTAGATGTTAGTCTACCCTTAGTTGCAAGAGTCTGAATGTTCATCTGTCAGTGACCACATTGTATGTGCAAATACATTAGTATGTGATATAGGACTGGTCACAGATAGATCTTTACAGATATATATATTTTGAATATGAAAACAAATGAACCAATTTAAATTGAAAAGGAGCCCCAGGGAGACCAGAGATAGACTTGCTTCATTTAGGGCTTTGGCATTGCTGGGAGGGCTAGGCTGTAGGGAAAATAAAATGGCTAAGGGACTGTGAGACAGACTAATGCAAGAGTCTGTATGTTGATCTGCCAGTTACCACATTGAAGTTTAAGGTCATTGGCCTGTCAGACAGGTCTAGTCACATTTAAGTTCTGTTTTGTGGTTAGATCTGCACTGGATGTTGGCCTTGTCAGTGCAAGTCTATGACAGTGACTACTCTATTAACCCAGGTATTTTGACAAGGAAGCTTCATTCTTGTAGTCCTCTGACTATCGAAACTTTAACCTGTATGTTTTGGTATATGGCTCTTAATGCTAAAATGTCAGAAAATGTATTTTTTTGTTGTTGTTACCATTACCTAGAAAAAAGTGATTATGCTGACATATTTTTTAATAAGCTTAACATTTCAATATCTGTTAAAGCAAAATCTGAAGGTTCATGTGAAAGGTCATGATTTTGAGATCATTTCAACCTGCTATTTCTACCTCAAGCAAACATGATTTCACAGGGTACTAATAGTTGCAATGCAAGCATTTGAGTTCGGTACCAGAAGCAAATTTGATCGTACTGTTGTTTTTACAACTAATCTTGGATGGCTGAGCTATGAGACAGGTCCAAAATAAGTTGTGGAGGTTACACTGGGCAGATGAGTGACAGAAGCATGACAGCTTCCCTTCTTGTTTATGACCAAAGCTGATGCTGTTAGAGCAGATAACAGCCAACAAAAGAACGGATCAATCACTTACCTGTTAAATGTAGTGGTCAGGATAGTAGTACTACATGTAATCAAAAACCTGCCATTTTGTTTCTTGGGGCAATGACTTGCTTATCTGTACTTCTAAGGCTTGCAGGCTTTCTCAGTGGGTTAAGATTGATTGATCACTAGGACATACAGTGTAAAGTTACAAAATGAGCAAGGTGATTGGCAATCATGTTCTTGTAAAGGGATGTTCTATGTAATTTAACCTTAGGCTTAGGATTTATATTTGCATTTACATATATTCCCATTTTGGTTACTGACAGAACTATGAATATATTATGATGGAAAACAGCCTGTGCCAAGCACTTTTGAATCTACTTGCCTGAATTTGTTTGTTCCTATTATATTTACTATGTTTAGTGTTGACAGTTGATACATGGACTGTTGTTGGATGGACTGCTTTCTACCCAGCGTCTATGGACTTAATGAACATGTTTTTGAAGTGTGTGTGTGCGCGTGCATATGCGTGCGTGCATGTTACACATTAACTGAATGTGGTCCTTGCAAAGAATCTTATGCAGTATGCACTTTTGATACTGCCTGTTTAATCTACCACATATGATGACTTTGAAACTCACTATTTGAGACATGTGTAGATTGAGTGGAAATGTCTGGAAACAACAGCAAGCATCACAGAAGGATGGTGGGGTATTGCATATAACATTGACTCTACCTGCTGAAGAACAGGGTTTGATTTCCTATGGGTGCAATATGCAAAGACCATCCTGTACTTGCTCTCTCTCATGACAGCATTAATGTTACTTGGGCTTACCACGGAAAACAGTACCATCCTTACTAATTCATGATTGTCATAAGACCTGAAAATGTGCTGTAGCTAGCTGACTGATATTAGGAATTGTCACTAATACTAACCCGTGAAGATCCGGGACTTGGTGGACACATGTCATTGTATCCCAGTTGCGAAGATTGATGCTCATACTGTTGATCACTGGATTTTCTTGATTATTTATAGACCGCTGCCATATAGCTGGAATATTGCTGAGTGCAGCGTTGAACAACAACCAACCACTGATACTAACCATTGCTTTAGCCTAGAAGTCAAAATGTTTGCTTGCCACATGAAAGACACAGTTAGATTCTGTTCATAGGAACACTGTGTGATGCCCATTATCCTGTGTCCCTGCTGTCATGTTGCTTGAATATTGTGAAGTACGGCATAAAATCATACTCATTTATTCTCTCAGAAACTGGGTCCAGATCCACAAAGCGTTTGTAGCCATACAACAATAGTAAGCCTATGATAAACTACATATTTACGACAAGCCGTAACGTTATGATCGCTTGTGGATCAGGACCCTGCTGAACTTACAGTCTTCACAAATAAGTTGCGATAAAGATGACTCATCAAAAGCCTGTGTCAGTTGAATTTCAAAAACCTTTGCAAACCACTGCTGGCCAGTCATTGCTATAGAAACATGTTCCATTGCTGTTTCATCATATAAGAAATGTGTTGTTTTCCATGCTGTCATTGATGACCTGACTAATGTTGAATCTGTTCTGTTTCAGGTGCCACTCGCCACATAGCTGTACCAGAACCAGTTTTACAACAAGCACTTCATTTATTGAAAACTCATGATGAAATCACATTTTTAGCCAATGTAAGACAGGAATTAGGAGATTCTGGTAGCATTTTTTCATTTTCCTCAGAAATATACAGGTGAGTAAGCATTTATTCAATTTTATTGTGTTACAGTTTAAATATCTAAAAGCCTAAGGGGGTGGTGGGGTAGCCTAGTGGATAAAGTGTTCGCTCATCACCCCAACAGCCTGGGTTCAATTCTTCAGATGGGTACAATGTGTGAATTCCATTTCTGGTGTCCCCCACTTTGATATTCCTGGAATATTGCGAAAAGTGGTGTAAAACCATACTCACACACTAACTCAACCCCCATCAATCAGTGGTTTGTGTGGTTCAAACTCTAACAACTACAAGCCACCATCAAATAACTAAAAACTGTGTAAACTCAATACAACACTGGACACACTCACTATTGTGAAGGACCTTTATCTTATAAACATGAAGACCGTACTCCTTGATATATACTCTATGTAATTCCTCTTTGATATTCTGTGTTTTTACTTCCTTTAGATCATTAAAACTGCGCTCATAAATCCTTAATACTTAAAAAATATGTTTTAGAAAACAAATACAAAGTTTATAAACACAGTTAAGATAAGAGCCACATTCTACTCTCACCATCGTGGTAGTCACAGATCTATCACCATCATCGATAGTAATCTCCCACAGTGCACCATGATTACCTACGAGGGGGCGTTATCACATCTACACCAGCGCCCCCTATGAAGCAAGAGAGCAGACTATCTGGTCTACCTGTTGTGCTGGCAATTAACCCATTTCTTCATTAGCACTCGTGAAAGAGAAGATATGTAATTGTTAGACTCTGAATGGAGCTCTGGTGGAATTAATTACCCATCAGTTCAAGACTCCTGTCTCAATTAGGTACCGCCTACCAGCTGTTACGTGCTATTTCTGCTCGGTAATTTTAATGTCAAGACAAAACATTGGGTTTAAGTTCTTACCATAGGTCATGGAAATAAATTGTTGGCTTGTGAATGAAAGAATTTACCTTGTAGGACCATTCATTTGCCTATTCTGATTTGTCTGTTGAGCTGAAACTATTTTCCTAGCTACTTACAATTACTAAATCTTAAACTGTTATCGTTTATTATATTTCACATTACTAATTTCTTAAAAATCACAAATTTTATTGTGTTAACTTTCTGAAATTTCTTGGATGTCAAACTTAAACACTATTGAAAATGAAATATTGATAATGTTGTTGTTTTTCTGAACATACTATATTCTTGTCCTTCTGATATTAAGTTATACTTTCAGTTTACTTTATTAAATTTTATTTAGTTTGACCTTATACCAGAATATTGTTTGACTGTTTTCAGCTCTTTTAGTGTAACTTATTCTAGAAATATTGTGAATAAAAAAATAGATTTATCAAGGTATGTATCAAAAGGCCTTGGAAGGGAAATCTGATTCTTGTACCACTCTTGAGTCTAGACTGATAGTTTTTTCTTCTGGTAAAAAAATAAAATGACAGGATGTGCGTAAGGATGCCTTTTCCTGACGTCAAAATAAAAGTGATTTCTCAAGGTAAATCTAATTAGTAGTTACTGAAGCAGAAATTTTGGAAAGCGGTTGCCACAACTGTGACATTAGTCGTCATATACAAAAACACCATGAAGGATATGTTAAATTGTACAAGCTGACACATCTACTAGAACTTCAGCCATTATTCTCAAGGAGTTGTGTTCATCTGAAGGATTTGTCTTTGATGTAGGAAGCGACTTCATCTTACAACATGTGTGTGTTGGTAAAGTGCAGGCAGAGTGTTCATAAAGCGCGCTGACATTGTTGCACCTGCATCCTTGGTAATGAAGGTCACCAGGACAAAGTCATTCCTACAATTAGTGTATATTGGATTATCTACCTGAACAATTTGATATTCAGTGTTTGGACAGCAAGCTAATTGAACTCAGCAAGGATCATTTTCATTTAACTTTACAAATTCAACTTAGGAGTAATTTGGGGTTGGAAATGAGTTTTCCATGTTGTACTGATGAAGGGAATTGAACCCAGGTCTTCAGTGAGACCAGGCAATACTTGTACCATGTGGCTACCCGACTCGACCTTACAGTTCTTCAGCAGTATAATGGCATCATGAGAATATTGAACTCAGGGTCTGCTTGCGGGAACTCACTGTTATGACTGTCTTAGCCAGACTAGTTAGAACCTGTACTTAGTGCTGGTGGTTTCTTATCTGGAGCAGGTGAACCAATTACAGAATCAAACTCTGTTCACAGGGGTTATGCTGCAATAGTTGCTCAGGTTTGATATCACACTGAATATTCATGGTTTCTCTGATGTGCTAAGCTCATTCTTAGAAAGGCATGACATTTGGGAGACACAGATAGTCACTTTGTAGAGTTATGTCCCTTAGTTGGGCCAGGTTCTGCTGATCATTGTCAGAACTGCAATACCAGCGATGTTTAGTCTGTCTGAACTTGTTACACTCTCACTCAAAGGAACCCTCTCTTACATATTTCACTATCGTGAACATATCCACATGTATGTAATGTTAATTCATTATGTTCATTGAATTTCAGATTTTTAGAAGTGGAAAGTAGTGGACGACGAGATGAAATACGTTTCCACTATACACATGACCAACAAATACATGTCGAAACATTCCCATACAGACTTGCAGACAACCAGTGGCATCACTTAGCCCTATCCATTAGCGGAGCCCATGTGACGCTCCTGGTAAACTGTAGCAAAATATATCAGCGAGTGATTCACACAGTGGATCGGGAGTTCACGGCAGGGAAACTAGCTCTTTTTATTGGTCAAAGAAATGGCCAACATGCACTTTTTTAGGGTAAGTATTGGTGATTTGTTTTTCAGATTTGTGGCGTGTTTGTCATTTCAAGGAGTTACATTCATGGGAGATTTGGTTAAGTGCTGGTTATTAGTGTTGATTCAGGACAAGAGATTCGATTTTGATGTTGTGGAAGAAATTTGACTTTTAATGGAGGTGGTGTACTTGCATTTTGAATCATTGATAACAAGAATGATGAGATTCTGATTTGATGATGCTCCAGAAGAGCGTAGGACAGCAGATCAAGTATGATTGTAATGGAAGAATTTGAAGAAGATGGTTGTCCCAACACCAAGGTGTAGAGGAAGTGGAAGCTGTCAGTTTAATACAGTCATTGGATTTCTTCAAGTCTGAACCTTGAGAAGGTTTGTGAATTTCTAGTTGAAAACACTGCAAAGAGAGCCATGGCAACGACATCAAACACTGTTCAAGAACAATGACCCATAGGAAACCACTCAAGGATAACAGAAAACTGGTCTTGTTAATTCAAGAAATTAACGCAAATCAATCCGGACAAAAATTACCATCATCATTAAAACAAAATGGATGCCACTCATGCACTGAATGGATGATTCTATTGGATTTGGTTGAAACTTGCAGCAGCTTGACATCATATTTGAGACAATTACGATGCACTCCGTGAAAATTTATGTGCACATTGAATTATAGACCAGATGGTTTAGTGTTTTGCACCAAGTGTCTTGTCAAGAGGGCGTGAAAAGGTTATGATTTTACGTCAGGGCAAGATGTGTTTTATATCTCCCAAGTGTGTCGTCCTTCTCACAGGAGTTCAAGTGGAAAGGATTTTTGCCATTTTAGAGGGAATGAAACAATATTATCATATCTTTGTTACTCTACTGCACATGAAACTGAAATATGATTTTGTAGAGTGAATATTGATTATATTATATTTGTTCAGTGATATTCTCATTGATGTCCTGTTTTGACTAAAATGCATTTTGTACATGTTCATTGTTGGAAAGAAATCGATAATAATGTATAACAAATCACTGAAAAACGTATATGTTGGCATGATGACAACATTTTAAGAAATTAGATATCCTGTGTGTGAGTGCAAGTAGTCCTGTGTGGATGAAGTGCTTGCACATTTTGGTGATTGTAGAAAATAATGAATTTGTTTATGTTTTGGCCACAAGCTCAGAAATAATCAATAGAAAATTCTTTTAACGTTGGTGATAAAACACAGGACATGAATGAAATCAGATCTTTTGTTTTTAGAATATTTCAGATTTATGTTAAAGCTATTTTATACACTGGATATGAACACACCTATTTTAGTACTGTATATCTTGGCTTACTGTGTTTCTAAATGTCACACTGTCTTTTATCTGGAGCAGAGATATTGAATGGAAATTGATTATATATTTCATTACACTTTCATTAGTATTTTCCTAAAGGTCAGGGTTGCGTGGTATTTGACAGAACAATATATGAAATATTATATTTACACTGTAATCGTGATCAAGTAGGAAACATTTAGGGAAATATTGTTTGGGTTTGACTGCCCACAAAATTCATATCCTGACATTTAGATTTTCATTGAAGGCTTGAGTTTTAAGGTTTAGTGATATATACTCCTGAATCTGTTATTTTGTGGGTTAGGTATATTTGATTCGACATGTAATGTTATGGTTATGAGAACTATAACCTGATATGTCAGGCATGGATTTGCATGATTTGTTTCTGCCCTGCTGTGCCAAGAATATGTGGGAAGAGGAATGTATCATGATCAATGTTTATATGTATAAGAATTTAACAGCAGTAGTACAATCACAACACAATTGACAACCTCATTTTCCTCATGAAAATCTGAGTTAGAACTGATCCTTGGGATTGGATAGTCAGGATCACTGACTTGGTTGATGCATGCCGTCAAATCCAAATTGTGTAGATTGATGCTCGTGATGTCAACCACTAGATTATCTGGTCCAGATGTGATTGGTTTCCAACCACCAGTATTGTCAAGAGTGGCATTAAACAACAAACAAAATCTCTAAGTCTTTGACTAACATAAGCTGCACTGCCTGGTGCCAATTGTAGATGATCAAGTCATTATAATCAGATCCCCAGGTTAAACTGTGACATGATCTTCATGTAATTAACTGATTGGGTTAAACTTAAGCATGGTTAGTGTAATGCTCTGGGCCCTTATTCTCGAAATGTTTGTAGCTCTAAGAATTCTTAACTTTGATCGCAGCCAATGTGTTAAAAAATGGGCGTAAGATGTTCGTAGGGCTACGAACGTTTCGAGAATAGCTAGCCTGATCATCAACATAAGGTGATATACATCCAGAGTTTAGGAAAAAAAGTAATGCTGAATAACTTGAATTGACTGTTGTCCCAAGCATAGTTCGACCCACTTCATGGGAGGCTGGTCTGAAGTGGTGATGGGACTGACTTTTCAGTACTTATCTGATTTTGTATTGACTGCATTTCTAAAAGTGATCTCTTCTATCATGAGTGTGTCCATTGCTCCCACCAAACTATGAATAATTTCTGAATTGTATTAGTGTGGCAATGTGTACTATTGTAGCAAAATCTGCAGATCAGTCAAGACTCATAATCACTAGAGTAAAAGCATTGTCTCTGTTTCTAGATACTAACCACTGTTGCAGGACACTTTACTGTGGAAATATTGATAAAGATATTAAAGCAACTATAAGTTTATGCACTGGGCAGCCTAAGCAGGTTCTATCAAGTCATGCAAAGACACTTTCTATCTTTCTGCAAACCAGAAACCATGTATTGTTTTAAATTCAGGTCATGACAGACTTGTAACAAATGTTATATTTGGGATTACACTTTCTCAAACATAACATTTGTTACATTTGACCACTTTCTAAATGGCATTGTGTATTCATGACAGACTGACTTCACAAAGTATAATCACCTTCATGAACATCTCATGACAATCAGGTTGATTCAAGCAATAAGACTCACTGTCTCATACTATTAAATGTTCCCCACAATACACAAACAATCTCGCTTATGAATCTTCAGGAAGAAGTAGTAGCTGCTACTAATGTTTAACTGAACAGATGGCAGGTATCTAAACAGACAACCGTTTTGGAGAAGAACTGGTTCATGATGCTATTTATCTAAAAATAATATTCTGCCCTTTGACTGCCTCAGTATCTTTGTTCCTCTTTCCGAGTGTTTGCCAATAACAGAATTTACTTGCCATGGGCCATTTAGCATGTATAACTGTCCATTCTACACTTTTCTTTCCCTGCACTGATGCATCCTTGGTTGTTGTGCAACACCTAAGTAACTGATGGGATGTATTCACTGAAAGGGATGCTTTGTAAGTTGATGCAGATTAATGTCCCTTCAGATTACAGAGTGGATGTACAACTTTGCACATCAACTGACCTATAACGATATGTAGCATGAACTCTGTCGGAGGTATGGATGCTAATTTACATTACCGATACATTACCGAGACACAACCATGACTTTCCTCAACTGAATCATATCAAACAGATTTCATGCACTGCAGTGCATGAAATCAAATAATGCCCTGTCTGGCAAGGCCCCAAAATATGTTATCGTACAGTCCAGTATGCTTAGGAACCTAAAAGAGAGCTGTATTGTGTGTTTAACCCACTAACTGACACTGGTAGATGATTTTTCCTTTGTAATGCTAACTTATGGAATACCTTGGCACCGATTCCTCTTTATGTGGTATACAGGAGATCATGCTTTAATGGCGCCGCTGAAGAATATGTAGGAATGACAGTGGTACATCCATTCATGCAATTATTCTTCAATGGGTTAATGGAACAGTGTCTTCTCTGCCAAGTATTCTTTTTAATAGAACTTTTTGTCTATTCTATTGCCAAGAATTTCAAAGTCTTTTAAACAGTGAAATTACATTTAAGTGCCAACACGTTTTTATTTTTGGTAAATAGTGAGTTAGAAGCACTCCACCCAAACATGCGGAAGCTGATAGGCAAAGATGAAACTGATGGTTATTCTGGGGCTTGCGGACGTATTAATACGTGCAGCCAAACAATGTCATGTGTGTAGAGGTGATAGTGCGAGGAACAGGTTAATTAACTATTGTTGGAATCCCAGGAAACACTTCAAGATGGTTGGCACCACTCTGGGTGATTAATACTTCTTATTCAATAGAGTCTTCATTGTTTATATCATTTCTGGTTTTTGTCTGACATGCAAGAAAACTGAAGAAGCACTGATATGGCTTTAAATTAGGTAATAAGAGACTGAGAATTGAAAATAGTATATGCACCTGAGGTATTTGCTTAATCAAGCGTTTTTGTGGTGTTTGATGTGGAGTCTATTTGAGGATTTAATGACTAATTTAGCAGTGATCTGTTTATAACTCGTAATAGCTTTCAGCTGCAGTGAGAGGAGAATTCTGGGAGGTGTGTTTATATCTGAATGTATGTATTGCAGTGGGTTAGTAAATGAAGGGAAGTAAATTGGATTTAATGCTGAAATTACAGGAAATGTATTTATATTTTCATCAAATTTATATCAGTTTGAACGCAAAATTAGAACAAATTGTTATCTTTGAGATGTTTATATGTGTACCTTGTTGAAATAATTTTGATTAATGTTTTAAAGTAGAAGAAGGTGTGTTTTTATCCAGTTGTTTTCCTATGGCTTATGTCCAGAGCCAGTACACAACAGCTGTGTTGTAAAAACACTGACATGCACTAAGATAAGTTTTTTAATTTGATAGAAAGTAGACATTATTATGTTCAGAAAATATTTACTTTAATGGAGATCTGCCTGAATAAAAGGAATGTTTTATCCCTACTTTTACGTTTCCTGGTAGTTTTAGTAGTAGAAAGACTTTTTTCTAATTGAAGTTTCTGCATCCTGTTTTGTATCATTTTTGCGTCATAATGTGAATTTGTACTTTTCTTGTCTATTTCAGGGGGCTTTACAAGATGTAAAAATAGTTACTCAATCTCATGGGTATTTATTACAATGTCCGGATCAAAATACAGGTGAGGAAGCTCTAGTTACCTTATTAGGAATCTTCAGCAACCCATTTTTGTCATAAAAGTTAAAGCACATGTGATATATGTGGTCTCACCTTAGGCAAGTGAGTTTATTCAAAATTGCCTCTGTTCACCCACAGAAAATGGGTACCTGGTGGGATAAGTCATGTGACTATAAACCTTCTAGTCCCTCTCAGGCAGCTTGGTTTATCTGTGGTAATAATAATCAGTTTGTGTTTGCCAGCATTTTGAGCATTGCCCTTGTGTTGTGGAAGTCAGCGCTATACAAATATTCTTCTTCTTCTTATTATTATTATTACCAGGATTGAGTAGGCTCCTGGTTGATGCATGTCATTGTGTCCCGATTGCAGTGACATGATCTCAATCACTATATTGATGGTCGAGAGTCGAGTATGTACAGACGGCCATCATATAGCTGGAATATTGCTGAGTGTGGCATTAAACAACAAACGAACAAAACAGTGTTCATGCCATCAGTCACTGGTTTGCCATGTGCAACCTTGGTTATTTATTGGGGGAGGGGCAGCCTGGTGGTTAAAGCATTCACTTGTCACGCCAAATATCCGGTTTCGATTCCCCACATGGGTACAATTTGTGGAGCCCATTTTTTTTAGTCCCCTGCCGTGATATTGCTGGAATATTGCTAAAAGCAGCATAAAACTAAACTCACTCACTCACTTGGTTATTTATAGCCCGCAGTGATAGAGCTGGAATATTGCTGGCTACAAAAGTAAACATCAGTCACTCACTCGTCCTACATTCTTGAAGACTTGTTTCCATATTATTCCATAATTCATGACATTATTGCCTACTGGGAACCCGGTGTAGATTCAGGGTGAGATGAGATCCCCAGTGCCCTATAATGTACACAGAAGCCAGCTGATGCCAAGGTGTGTGTGACCTTGTGGTTGTGTCAGTCTACCCGATGGTATTGATTGTTATTCATGCAATCACTGACTGCTTCGCCTGATCCAGGCTCAGATATTTATAGTCTGCCATGATGAACATTGGTCACAGTGTTCACATATATGACTTCTGAAAGGGTAACAATGTTCACTCCGTGATGACACGCCATCGCTCTTTTGCTGCTTTGTATTCTTATACATTTGCTAGGTTGTTACAAGTTGCAGAAATTCTACTGTAATTCTCAGTTTGTGTTGAGGGCAAGTGATGGAATTTTTCCTTGCCATCTGAAAGGGTTCATTGATGAAACACCACTCTTGAACTGTTGGCGTGAAGTGAGATGTGTTTTAGGCTGTATTGAGACCCATGAAGGCCCGGGTTAGACTATTGGCCTTCAGTAACCCATGCTTGTCGTAAGAGGCGACTAACAGGATCGGGTGGTCAGCCTCACTGACTTGGTTGACACATGTCATCAGTTCCCAATTGCGCAGATCGATGCTCATGCTGTTGATCACTGGGTTGTCTGGTCCAATCTCGATTATTTACAGATTGCCACCATATAGCTGGAATATTGCTGAGTGCGGCGTAAAACTCAACTCAACTCACTTTACACTGTATTGAACATTATTTCAGTTGTATCACAACATGTCAGGTTCATGTTTGAGAAAAGCCTGACATCCTGCCGACCTGACAGTTATGTACCTCTTTGGTGACACCCACAAGCATGGGTATGGTGTTCACACAGAAAGATTCATGATCAGGGCAAATCTGGGCTTCAAACCCACATACGATCATGCCATATCTAAGTGACACAAATCTGCAAAGCAAATTGCAGTAGTGTTTACAATTGAGCCACCTGTGATCTCCTGAGTATGTGAATGTGTTTTGTCATATTCAGCCTTTACGTTTAGTGACCGATCATAATTTATGGCTAGGGGGGGTGATGATGATTTTTATAGAGAAGCATGTACAATGTGAATGACCCCCTAAAAAAATGTGAACCCCCTGCATGTCATGCACAAAGTCAATGAACCCTCCCTGCATGTCAAGCACAAAATCAATGACCCTGACATCCCCTAGTCCATGTGTTTTAAACATAATTTTAAAATGACCCTTTTATGTACAAAACACACACGGACATCACCCTAGTACACACACACAAAATTGACACACACACACACCCTATCACACCCAGACCACACATGGCAGACCCACAAATCATCACACACACACACACACACACACACACACACAAGCACTTGATGAGGTAACACACAATCATGTACATTTTAACGTCATCATACTTTGGCTTCCTCTATTAGCATCATCAGTGATTGGCTGCTTCAAGAATCGGCTATATTTGATGAGGACATAGAATTAAATGGCAGATTTGATAAATGAGAAATAAGAAAGATGTTTCATCCAGTAGCATCACCAAGAAGGTTCAGTAGACATCATATGGACCAACAACTCCATTTATTTGACAACACACTGATACAGTTATCGTTTCTTTGCAGATTGTCCAACTTGTGCTCAGTATCAAGCTTTGGAACAAAAAGTTAAAGAAATGTATAATTTATATGAAAATATATCAATGAAGGTAAGTCCAGTGGATGATAATAGTTTTGTGTTCCTGTTGATTGTGTACTGTAATAAAAGTTTACGGTTGTGTTGAAAGGTGTTGAGTGAACTAGAGTCTCAAGGTTTTGCTGCAGATTAACAGTATAAATCTAAATGAGTTTGTAGGCGATCAGGTATTGATTATTCATGAGACAAGATTTGCCAAAGTACTCACAGAGTTGATCAAATTCAGGTTAACGAGGTTTCACTGTATGGGCATTCATGAAAAATAGTTTGACAAAAAGATAAAAAAATCTCACTTGTTATAGAATGGAGAAGAGTTTTTCAAGTGATATAAAGGCTTTTCTTGATTTAGATTTTGAATTAAGACCTTTATAAGGTGTAGAAATATACAGCGTGTATGGAATCCTAATGGTATTGATGTTTTCTTGCAGCTTCTGCAGGCAGAAGAGAGATTAACTGGTTTGGAGCAGTGTGAATGTGCCCGGAGTTGTTCCGACAATGGAACGATTCGGAAAGAAGGGGAGCAGTGGGAGCGAGATAAGTGTGCCGCGTGTATGTGCAGGGTGAGTAGACACCAAGTGTCCTCAATATGTCCTCTTCCATGTCCTCAATAACCTTACCCAATTCCTTATACTGTGTGTATGTTTAGGGTTGTTTTACCACCGTCCACTCCCAACAAACCCTGTTCTTGTGTATGTGCAGAGTGAGTAGACACCAGGGGTCTTCTATATGTCCTCTTCCATGTCCTCAATAACCCAACCCCAATTCCTTATACTGTGTGTATGTTTAGGGTTGTTTTACCACCGTCCACTCCCAACAAACCCTGTTCTTGTGTATGTCCAGGGTGAGTAGATGCCAGGTGTCCTTCTTTCTCCTTGTCCACAGGGGCAGTGGGGTAGTCTAGTGGTCAAAGCGTTGGCTTGTCACGCCGAAGACCCGGGTTAGAATCCCCACATGGGTACAATGTGTGAAGCCCATTTCTGGTTTCCCCCGCCGTGATGTTGCTGGAATATTGCTAAAAGCGGCGTAAAACCAAACTCAGTCAGTCAGTCAGTCCTTGTCCACAATAACCCAACCCCAATTTTCTATGCTGAATGTACATATCCAAAAGCATGGTCATGTGATTGTGCAAGGTGATCAGTAGACACCAGGTGGCCTTTCTTTTGTCCACAATCATTCTACCCCAAACCCATAAACCGAGTTTATGTTTTAGTTTAGGGTACCCGCTTCCACTGTCCACCCCCCTCCAAAACCCCGTTCTTGTGTATGTGCAGGTTGAGTAGACACCAGGTGGCCTTGCTCTTTGTCCACAACTGCCCCACCCCAAACCTCAGTGCCATTTGTGTATGCATAGGATAAGCACAGAGATGCCAACCACTCCGGTTTTGGAGGAGTTACTCCGATTTTCAAATACAAATCCCCTCTCCGATTTTTCTACAAAAAACTGATTTAAAAAAAAATACAAATATGTTTATAAGTTTAGAATGTTTGAAAGAATTTTAGTAAATAGCCATTTAAATATGTTCATTTGAGTTATATATATTACCTGGTTAGGTATGCCCAGAAATTGCATATTTCCAGGCTAAATCTAAAGAGTTTCATAGGGGAGGCCCCCCAGATCCCCACCGTCAAAAGGGGCCCAAGCCCTCTCTCACGCTCACCCCCAACTCACACCTTCAGGGCTCGGGAATTACTTTTAGCAAGACATGACTCCGCTTTCATTTGATTCAGGGTTGGCATCACTGTAAGCATACACAATGTAGATGTCATCTTTTCTTCTCCAACCAGATTAGTCGTACGGCTGAGTCCTTTAACACGAGAGCACTGATACTGCAATATTTATAGAGCACTACTGTTCTTTGCAGTTCTTCAGTATGTTCTGTTACTTGTTACCATGAGTATATCTATTACATATAGAAACATGCAGCTTACTGTGAGATAGCTAGCTCATTACATGGAAACATGCCAGTAATTTAATTGCTATGTGATCAGAATGTACATTGCATTTAAAAGATAACACCTAAATCTTTTGTTTTTCAGAATGGAAGTATTACGTGTACAAAATTACAATGCCCTCAATTGGAGTGCAAGAACCCTGTCTATAGAGAAGAAAAATGCTGTCCAGTATGTTTAAGTGAGTATATAGTAGGGATTCTCCTCTAAACCATGTTTGTCATATGTGTTTGATTAAAATAAGTACCAGGGGGTGCAGTGTGTGGCCTTGATCATGTGTGGACTGATGCTGTTACTGTCACAGGTCACCTGACGAACTCACAACATAACTTATAGGCTTTCATGATTATGCTCATAATAAACATGTTTATGGTCAACAACTGTTATGCCACTCACACATATTTCACTGCCTCGTGAGACTATAAACTTAAAGGGGTGGTGGGGTAGCCTAGTGGTTAAGGCCTTCACTCGTCACGCCGAAGACACGGGTTTGATTCCCCACATGGGTACAATGTGTGAAGCACATTTCTGGTGTCCCCCACCGTGATATTGCTGGAACATTTCTGAAAGCGGTGTAAAACCATGCTCGCTCGCTCGCTCTCTCACTCACTCACTCACTCACTCACTCACTCACTCACTCACTCATTATAAACTTAAAGTTGACCACAGTTAAGGCTCTGATCCAGTTGGTGTTCATCATTTGAGTACAGTTTTATCCTGGGGGTTTGCTTCAGTATATTTCAAGCTGCATGTACATTAGGCCTACACGGACACCTGGGTCTAAGGTGAAAAAAGTGACTTCCCTTCCTCGGGATAAAAAAGGAGCAATACTGAGAACAGCAGGGCGTGGCTTTGCCTCAACCATTATTTTTGCAACTTTTCCTTGATATCCGTCACTCATACTGTCACTCGTCCTCTTGTTAGTTGTGTAACTCCGTCTTCTCTGATTCTTTCTTTTAAATATATGATGGATGTGGGACTATATTGAAACCATGTAAAATGATAGGCTCATAAAAAAACCACTCAGACGTCTCATAAAAACATCAAAGAAAGTACCTGATAGCAAAACTGATTTTTTTGTTGACACATGTTGAAAATGTCTTATCAATAAAACCTCTCTGTTAAAACGTGTGTGAAGTGTGTAAAGAAATGTCACAAAAACTGTTCCTTTAGAGAGTTCGCAGCTCTTCTGCAGAAGCAAACTGGCTGGCCTGGCCTGATCGAAAAGTCTGCCATAGTGATAGGGTTTGTCTGACTAAGAGACAACCCTCAAGAAAACAGGCAATATATCTTGAATAAACACAGACAGATACATAGATGAATCACGGAAGAAGGAATTGCTTTTACAATCAACAGATGGGTGTATAAGACTCCCTGTGTCTGGTGCCTGTGTTTGGGACATTGATTACGCAGGATCTCTACACCTAGGGAGATGGAGGATAGCTTTATTCCTCATAGACAGTCATACACATATTAGTAAAAGCTCATCTTTTAAATGGAATTTGACATTGATGGATGTGCCATGAAATATAAGGGCTGGTTTGGTGAAAGTCTAGTTTTTAAAGATATGAGTCATAGTTTGATATTCATTTTCAGCTTGAGTTCCGAGCTACTGATGTCTTTTACAGATGGAAACCATACAATAGGCTGTTTATTCACAAGTTAATCTATAATATTTGGATTGCTTACATTTTCTTTAAAAAATGAATTGTAATTGATATTTTATATTCCTCTATCACGTAAGTAAACATGAACTTCTCTAATGCAGTTGTATAGCTTAACATTAGTTCTGTATTCTGTTGCCTTCAGAGAATAGAAAGAAAGTTTGGTGACCCGTCATTTGAAAATATGCTTATAGTGAGAAATATTTATATTTTCGTTGCATTATGTCATTAGAATCTGCATCAGCTATGTCCTTTCGAAGGGGATAATCAAATCAGAAATGGAAATGATCTAAAATGATGCACATTATTCTTAACAGAACCAGATGATAGAATAGTTCACAAGTTTGCAGCAGGCCAATTAACTGTCTGCTTAATCTCCGGGCTCTGTGTGGTGTAAAGTTTCACACCAAGCTAAATCAGTGGTTGGCTAAGTAAGTTACTAGGCCAGACACCTCAGTCCGGCTGACCGGCTGATTGATCAGCGGGAGATCAGTCTGACACGCCAACTCTCACCTTGTCTCTGGTGACATATCAAAATGTCTGCTAGCAAGGGAGATTACCCAGGGGATCACCGATAAATGGACTTGCTAGCCACTAATGAAATTGTACAGGAAGAATATTGTGTACAAGAATTGAGATAGATGGGTGTTAATCTCCCCTTGGAGTTTAAACTGTTGATACAAGACAAACTGCAGATGCTTTTGTCCAATAATGTCTCACAATGATAGAAATTGAATGGACTCCTGTGTAACGCTGAAGTGTTTTTGATAAAATTATGTTCTGTTAGATGTCAATGGAGGTTACCCTTTGTCACTAGGTCATTTGTAAGATGCACAACTAAATACATCTGTACTTTGTAAACATGATACACCTATCACAATCTTCCTTGAAGATTAAGGTTAGAATTGATCTTCAGCAACCCATACTGGTTGGCCATTGATGGTCAGACTCACTGTCTTGGGTAATGCAGAGGTCATGATGTCCACCACTAGATTGCTTGGTCCAGAATATGTTATTTACAGATGACCATCATATAGCTGGAATATTGCTGAATACAAACACATAGTTCTAGAGTACTAGAATATATAGAGTGAATTTGGTTTAATGTCACTTTGAACGGTATTCCAGTTATATAGCAGCATGTCAGCTTGGGAGGAAAGACTTGTAGGTCACTGATGTTCACCGTTTTGATGAAATTCACGAGCAAGGGTACCACTCTGACAAACCTAAAGACATAGTCAGAATAAACTAGAATTTGAAGCCATGATCACTGGTTTCTGGTGTGCTGTGGGGTAGCCTAGTGGTTAAGGCATTTGCTTGTCACGCTGAAAACCCGGGTTCGATTCCCCACATGGGTACAATGTGTGAAGCCCATTTCTGGTGTCTCCCATCGTAATATTGCTGGAACATTGCTAAAAGCAGTGTAAAACTAAACTCACTCACTCACTGGTTTCTGTCATGCATCCACTGAATAATATTCTACTTTTGACAATAACTACATCTCTGACAAATTTAATAATGTGCCATTAGTCCTCTGTCGTGATCTATGTTCACTTGATTGTTTTAGCCTTATCCTAATCCAATACTTTTGTTTTTCAGCAAACTGTTTTTACAGTGGAAAGTATTATGACCACGGTGAAAAGTTCAGTCCTAGAGTGTGTGTAAATTGTACCTGTAATGTAAGTATACTAAATGGCATTATAATTGATAAATATTAACATTTTAAGAGTCACTGACTTTTCTAACATGACCCATTTGGAAGAGTCGGGCTTCCTATCTTATGAAACTGTTGTCATCACCATAAAAGTTTCAACAAATATTTTAATCTGTTTTTTAGAAGAAAATAATATGCATAAGTGTTTGTAGACTGCCATGGAAGTGTGAAAGATAAATGCTTAATGTGTACAAGTGCCAGAAAGATTTATGTAAACTACAAACTTCTCCAAAGATCTGTCATTTTGTAGCATCACCCATCTTTGTTTTCAAGAAAATGCTCTTCCTTTTTGATGTTTCAACTGACCTAGGGGAGTAAACATTACAAAACATTCTTTTATCTGGTGGTAAATACAACATAGGCTTTTGTGCTGTCATAGTGTTACTTGTTGTGTTTCACTGAAAGAAATCACCCCACATGGATGTGTTTATTAAAGACATTACATAATTTTGACAATTTGAACATACAGCACAGGAAGTTACAGAAATGACATCTCGTATCCCAATTGTGTAGATTGATGCTTATGCTATTGATCACTGGATTGTCTGGTCCAGACCCGTTCTTCACAGACCGCTGCCATATAGCTGGAATATTGCTGAGTGCAGCGTTAAACAATATCAACACAGAAACAGAAATAGGTGACATATAGAAGAAGGGTTTATTTTGTAACAAATCACTGACATGCCCGAGCCCATGTGGGGCGTTTCCTGAATTCAACAGATAATAAAAATTATAACATTGATATGGATATCTACTTTGATGCATTCTCAATAATCTTAGCCAGTATTTAATACATTTGACATAACACACATTGCTTAAGGGTGCCCTCCCACATTCCCCATATGCAACAGCATTAGATGATCTGTAACTAATCTGGAGTAAAAATTTGCAAAATTTTAGATGGACAATTTCAATACTTTCTCTCTTTTTAAAACCCCATATCTCAGCACCATATGTTAGAATTGGTACAATTTTTTTATCAAAATATAAAATCCTTCTGAGAGTGACATATCGTATCGTCTTATAAATGACTTGATCGCCACAGTGCCTTATTAGCTTGATCAGATAATGTTTTACATGCCCTAGTCCAAATCAATTTGGGAGTTATCATAAGTCCTAGATATTTATAAACATTGACAGTTTCCATTCGAATGCCATTATAGAACCATTGAGATAAATATACCGTCATCAAACTTATATAGCAGTGTAAGTCACAGGATTAGGTCAAATATACCACATATACCACATGTTAGAAAGACAGGGGAAAAAAAGTCATATACATATCTATAGATGTCTTTGACAGTGTGTCTTTTTGTACTTTCAGAAAGGAAAAATGTTATGTCAGAGGAAGGAACCAGCCACAAGCTGTACACAGCTGAATTGTCCCGAGTCCGAGCATCTACAGATACCAGGAGAGTGCTGTCCGGTCTGTAAAGGTGGGCTTGCTGTTGACAGTAGTCATGTGCTTTATGTAATATTTCAGGGGTGAAGATCTGGGTTAGCATCAGTCTTTTGCAACCCGTGTTTGTTATAAGAGGCAACTAACAGGATCAGGCCCCGATTTCTCAAAACAAATTTAAGTCGTAGTTTTGACTGAAGTTACAGTTTTACTCTAATTTGAGATAAAGCAGGAAAATGCATTTACCAGAATAAACTGAAATAGATATAAAACTCAAACTTAGCACTAAGTTAGTAGACAATTTGAGTTAGATAGATAGGTTACATGAGTTGTTTTGTATTTTTGGTTGCGACTGAGTTAGAAAGAAACTCAGCTGTTTCAAATTGTCAAACTCAGTTTGAAATTTGAGTAAAAAATTAGTTTGTTTTGAGAAATCAGGACCAGGTGGTTAAGCACATTGACTTGACTGACACAGGTCATCGTATCACAAATGTGTGGATTGATTCAACTATTCCCATCCCCATGAACTGTTAGTTCATACCAACTATTCCCATCCCCATGAACTGTTAGTTCATACCAACTATTCCCACCCCATGAACTGTTAGTTCATACCAACTATTTCCATCCCCATGAACTGTTAGTTCATACCAACTATTCCCAGGAACTGTTAGTTCATACCAACTATTCCCAGGAACTGTTAGTTCATACCAACTATTCCCAGGAACTGTTAGTTCATACCAACTATTCCCAGGAACTGTTAGTTCATACCAACTATTCCCAGGAACTGTTAGTTCATACCAACTATTCCCAGGAACTGTTAGTTCATACCAACTATTTCCATCCCCATGAACTGTTAGTTCATACCAACTATTTCCATCCCCATGAACTGTTAGTTCATACCAACTATTCCCAGGAACTGTTAGTTCATACCAACTATTCCCAGGAACTGTTAGTTCATACCAACTATTCCCAGGAACTGTTAGTTCATACCAACTATTCCCAGGAACTGTTAGTTCATACCAACTATTTCCATCCCCATGAACTGTTAGTTCATACCAACTATTCCCAGGAACTGTTAGTTCATACCAACTATTCCCAGGAACTGTTAGTTCATACTAGCCATTCCCAGGAACTGTTGGTTCATACCAACTATTCCCAGGAACTGTTAGTTCATACTAGCCATTCCCAGGAACTGTTGGTTCATAGTAACTATTCCCAGGAACTGTTAGTTCATACTAGCCATTCCCAGGAACTGTTGGTTCATACTAGCCATTCCCAGGAACTGTTAGTTCATACTAGCCATTCCCAGGAACTGTTGGTTCATAGTAGCTATTCCCAAGATAGGAGTTGAATGACTATAGGAGGGAAATAGCCACTGGAATTTTAATCTGTGAACAATTTGCCTGTTGGGATATTATTTACCTTTTACTTAGCTTGAGCAAACAGGCAGCATGGCACGCCCCATAACATGAAGCTTGAAATACCCTGAAGTTTCCAAACATAACAGTTGGAAGTTTTCAGTTTGGAATAGTTAACTGAATTCAGTGGCTGACATCCAGGAAACACAGGTTTGCTTAAAGTTCAGTTCCACAAAAACTACCCCAGTTGCATTCAGCCCTATACTACAAGGGATGTATGGCATTCAGCCCTATACTACAAGGGATGTATGGCATTCAGCCCTATACTACAAGGGATGTATGGCATTCAGCCCTATACTACAAGGGATGTATGGCATTCAGCTACTGTCTTGGTTTCAGGGCTCCCTTCCACAAAGTGATCATAGGGCATTGACAGTCATAAGTCTGTGTTGAAGGATGGAAGTAATGATTAACTGAGTTCTACAATAAACTTGTAGAACTGAGTCTGTAGAGCTTCCATCGGGGATACCATCGAACAAAATGTCATCTTCAGTTTCCTATTTACTGCATCTATAAACACAGAAAAATACAAACTTGTCAAATACAGAGATATAGTGGGAAGAGCTTAAGTTGTAGTTTCAGCCTTTGGGACATGGACTGGTTGGTGGTCTAAGACTTTGGGACATGGAATGGTTGGTGATCTAAGACTTTGGGACATGGACTGGTTGGTGGTCTAAGACTTTGGAACATGGAATTGTTGGTGGTCTAAGACTTTGGGACATGGAATGGTTGATGGTCTATGACCTTTGGGCATGGAATGGTTGGTGGCCTATGACTTTAGGACATGGAATGGTTGGTGGTCTATGACTTTGGCACATGGAATGGTTGGTGGTCTAAGACTTTGGGACATGGAATGGTTGGTGGTCTAAGACTTTGGGGCATGGAATGGTTGGTGGTCTATGACTTTAGGACATTGACTAGTTGTGGTCTATGACTTTGGGACATGGAATGGTTGGTGGTCTAAGACTTTGGGACATGGAATGGTTGGTGATCTAAGACTTTGGGACATGGACTGGTTGGTGGTCTAAGACTTTGGAACATGGAATGGTTGGTGATCTAAGACTTTGGGACATGGAATGGTTGATGGTCTATGACCTTGGGGCATGGAATGGTTGGTGGCCTATGACTTTGGGTCAATGATTGGTCATTGATCTGTGACTTTGGCACATGGATATTTTGCTCAATGGCTATTATGACAATATATACATGGGATTCTCAAACCTAACCAATCGGTTTCTCATTTGTCTGTTTTGTGACATGGGTCGTTTTATACCCCATATTTGGAATCCACTAACTCATTACATTAATCCAAACCAATTTCATTTCAGGGACAGATTTTTGTGCTCTTGGCCATGATTGCCACAAGAATGCTAGCTGCATCAACCTTGCCACCCGCTATGCATGCCAGTGTTTACCTGGTTTCCAAGGCGATGGACATTACTGTCAGGGTAGGTGTGCAACCAGCCAGTTCTATCTGTCACAAATCGGTCTGGCGCCATCATCATGTGTTGATGTTGCTGCGGGTTTGTGGAAGATGAACATGGCAGATGAAGAAGTGCATGCAAGTAATGAGTATGATATGAGTGTATGGATGTACATGTGTTAAGGTATAAACAAATACACTTGTACTGATATGAACACATATATGATTGTATTGGATGTATATGTGTATGCATGGCATAAATGTGTTTATCATATACCTATGAATAATATGGACCATTTTGCACATACAATACTGGCTGTCAGCATATGCCTATATTGACCACCCGGGCCAAAATGCATATCAGTCGTATTGCCTTGCTACTAAACTTGTACGGAATTAATACATGCAAACGCTCGAAACTTCAATAGACTGGAGCCTAGTTTATTTTATAGTTACGTCCCTTGATGTGGTATATGACAAAAATGTTAGGACAGTTTCACTTTGGCCAGTCATATCAGCCCTCGGGACCTTTGGTCCTCAGCCTGATATGGTAGTCTCGGGCTGATATGACTGGCGAAAGGAAAACTGTCATGTAATAACCTCTTATTATGTACATACAGTGATGATGATATGCACACAAATGTTTTATATGGGCAACAAGTGAGTTGATACAGGCACAAATGTGATTAACTTGTCTAAACAAGGTTACAATACATTCACCATTTACACTGTTAGTCACTGACTGATCTATACATGACTACTGTATTCAACATTTTTTGTGCTCTGCTCCAATAACCTCAACATGATGAACTTCTAGATTGATCTGTACGTGATCTTTGTGAAAAGCCTAAGACTGAAAGTTTCACATGCCAGTACACATTTCAGACTTTCATTTGTAGACATTGCAGCAGAGAAGGGTTTATGTTGTTGTCCAGTCAAGCTTCATTGATGTTGGAAAATTGTTTATTCTCCCCAGAGTTCTGAAAACAATTAACTCACCGGCACCACCAACCCTCTGTCACTTTTGTAAGTGCCTGTGGCACGTAGTACAAAGAATATGGTACTCACCGGTATACTGTGAGTCACAATCTGCTACACAAGGCCACAATGTACTCACCTTTACACTTATTGGTGACACATTATCATGTGCAAGGTCATCAGCTCAGGTGCTGTTTTACACAGCTTACTTGTAATTGACCAAGATTGTGGATTAATATTGTCAGTGTACACAAATTCACACAGCAGCATTGATGAAATTATGTTCAAAATTAGACATTTTTTAATGGAACAGCAATTGACAATTTGACCAAAATTTGTTAAAGAAGTTCTTTCTGGCAAATACTGAGTTCCAACATTCCTACATGTTTTTTATGTCAAATTGGACATTGTTTAAAGGCAGCTACAACAAGAATATTCCTAGAAGAAAACATTTATTCCTTCTTTGGTAAATTTATTAATGCCTTTGTGGTGACCTTAGTTAATTGCTGAAATTACATTCTTAGAGATGTTTACAGAAAAGGTGATGAATTTTATGTTCAAGTCCATCTTGAAACCCATTGGATTGGTTTTGAACCCCCAAAATGACATGATTGATGTCTTCATTCCTAGGTACATGGAACAATTAAATTTGATTTTGGCGGATTTTCTTGACAAAAACTACAACAAAATTCGTAGTTTTATTGTTTTTGTATATTAATCTAATGTTTACTGATTTCTGTAATTGCATCGAGACAATGTTCATACATGACATGAAGCATGACTCTCCAGAGTCCTTGGCAGGTGACTGTGTTCTTCTTTAAGACATAAAGGCAGTGGGGTAGCCTAGTGGTTAAAGCGTTCACTTGTCATGCCAAACCAATGGCCCAGGTTTGATTCCCCACATGGGACCAATGTATGAAGCCCATTTCTGGTGTCCCCCGCCATGATATGGCTGGAATATTGCAAAAAGTGGTGTAAAACTAAACTCACTCACTCACTTTAAAACATCAACTCTTGATGAGAAACATTTGTGTGAATGGTTTGGCCTTGAGTGTGTTGACCTGTGTGTATATGTAGATACTGCATCTCAGCCCCTTTCAAGCTTCAACTCTGATATCTGATACTGCAAATGTTAGATTGTATTGAATTGACTAGGAATAGATCTGAGAGTCATGTTTAGATTGAAATTCTCACCACAAATGAACAGACTTCTCCAATCTTGTGTCAGTTCCTTCCAGGGGAGAAGGAATACCTGAAAGGTTGCTGCATATTTGTGTTGGAGATTTCTGCAGTTTAGCGGGGTCAGGGAGTGGATGGCATTCTGCAAGTTGAAGGTATCTGCATCGTGTCCAACATGTTTGTATAGGCTGGGATTGCGGTTAACTGAGGGCATTGTCTACAAAATCCATGCTGTCTGGAACTGCTTAGATAGAGACCTTTCAAAGGTCATTGACTGATCAGGGTGGGAGTCCATCTCGGAGGGTGGAATCGGTGTTAAGCCATAATTGCAGTGAATTAGATATGGAATGAAATGTCTGCTGAATGTATAAGCAGAACCAAGAAACGTCCATATGCTTATTATGACAAATTTGCTCTGTAAACAGGAAAAGTTGTGATATTTCTGTGAGGAAGATTGACTGATCTGGTGAAGTTTAGAATTATCTTAACATTATACGATGGTATTTGTGTCTAAGTTTCATTCCAGGAAGCTGCTTGGCCTCTGATCACGCAATACGTCTGCTACCTACCAGCGTTCGCAATATTTATAGTTGTGATCTTTCACAAGGGCCCAGGGGGCTTGAGGTCCCCCCGCCTCGCAGTGTTTCAGACGAGATAGGGGGAACTAAGGCATTTGCCTTCCATGTGATAATAGCATTACCTCTACAGTTGGACCACCTGTTAGCTCGGTTGAAGGAGGGGGGAACAAGTTCATTTTATCTCTGTCTCGACAAAAAATAAGAGAGGATTTGAGTTGAGTAAGCTTTATGCCCATTTCCTGTACAGCCTTAATTTTCTTTGTCCCATTTAGCTTGAGGATGAGTAGGTAAAGTTTTATGGTGTTGGTGGATTTGGGAGAGATTTGTATCTGTTCAAAGAGATAGCAACCTCAAGCAAAGATCTGGAAAGTACACATGTTCATCATTGAAAATAGGGTAAAAAATGCGGAAATATAGATTATTTAGTGTGAAAGATATACTTTCGCCTTTGATCTCGGAAAGATTTGTATCGTAGAGAGATGCAGTAACCGTAGGCAACAGTCTGGAGAAAACATATGTTGATTATTAAGACGGAAAGGAAAAAATCTAAGTAATGATAAATCCAATGTTAAAGATGTTACAATTGCCATAAATCATTTTCTTGAAGCATTTCTGTTTTAAGTTTAATAATCAGCTCTTTTTCATCTAGTCAAATTAGAAACATGCTGTGGTTTTAATCCATAATTAAGAAAACACCCAGACTATTTTGTAAATTCAAATGCCAATATGGTTTGATATTTTGTTATTGAAAGTAGTATTTATATTTTATCAGCTCACTTGTTGAAAAAAATTGCTGTGTAGAAATGCATTATTGACTTAAGACAAAATGAAAGAATTTGATCAAAACTTTTGTAATTCTCTGTATTATTTTTATACTTATCAGTCAGAGCTTAAAGGACAGCAGCATTATTCACTTAAGACAAAATGAAAGAATTTGATCAAAACTTTTGTAATTCTCTGTATTATTTTTATACTTATCAGTCAAAGTTTATAGGACAGCAGCATTATTGCCCATGATGCAGTCTGTTTAGCATTCGTAGTCGATGAAGCCGGTATTGGTAAAGCATTTTAACACACTATCCAAACACGCCCTAGAGATTGAGCTATTAGAAGAACTCTATCACAGGGAGGCTATTTCCTTGTTCAAGGGGTTATTGGTCTCTATGGATTTACTGGCTCGACTCTTGTACAAATTCCGTAAATTACAATGAGGCTAACCATGAAGGGGCTAAGAATGTGAGTGAATTATTAAATCATGCTTATGATATCTCTTAATTACCATATCCATGGCATAAGATTGACTGGTTTTATAATGATAATCGCATTGGCATTGTCTATAGCTAATTTGGAAATATTTCTGAAGAATTGACTCAAAATATGGAATTGTGTCTTATTGGTCAGTCATCGTGACCCTCACATTCTGTCCATCTGCAGGCAGAGATCAGTGATTTGTGCTTGATTGATGGAGTTTGTCATTTGTAGGAAGCAGTATAGAGGGGATAGACTGTAATAATTTTCTCTGCTATCACAGACATGAAATGTTACCTAATGCTCCTCTCAGTACCCAATACTCTGATATTACATACATAAAATGTTATCATTTTCCTCGACAAGATGTTTTATTGAATATTTCATCACAGTTCATTTCCTCTCACTGGGGTAAAGAGTCATCAAATCTCGGCATTAAGATATTGAGGTGTATCCTGTATATTTAATGGAAAAACCAATTTTAGGCAGCACCCATGGAGTGACATTGTCAGGTTTAAATTTGAATGTGAAAGAAGATATTGAGATTTATTCTGTCATTTTGATGGGAATGTCGGAAAAAGCCATGTTAGGCTGCACCGATGGCGTGATAAAGTCATGGTTGAATTTGAACTGTCCTTGTTCTGTCTGGTATAAGGACTCTATCACAATTGGAGTATTACACGTCCCTGCAACAACCAATGGCTTTTGATTCTTGGATTTGAGGATGGCCAAGGTAGCCCCTTGGGTTTGAGTGACCTCACCTTCAGTGTACAAAATGTTGCATATCTGGTTGCTGGAAATTTTAAAATTTAAAGACCTGAGCCACTTTTTTTCTGTCATCAATTGGCTGTCATGCTTTGACTGAAGTATTGTCCAATGTATCACTATTCATAAGTTTGTTGCCCATTCATTGGTTTAACAAACTCAAAGAAAATCAAGAATTTTATTAAAAATATAGCATACAGAATATATAGGTTGTGTGCAACGAGTAGGCGTAACACCTAGGTAGGAAATGAACTGACAGAAGAATGAACAATTTGTATTTTGTTAATCAAGTTTCTTTGATCTGCTTAAATTGAACAGATGTGTGAATGTGTTGATTTATGATAGTCTTGTCAGTCCTGCCTTAACAGCTGAATATATAGGTGATGAGCCCTGCCTTAACAGCTGAACATATAGGTGATAAGTCCTGCCGTAATAGCTGAACATATAGGTGATGAGCCCTGCCTTAACAGCTGAACATATAGGTGATGAGTCCTGCCTAGTAATAGCTATAGGTGAACATATATAGGTGATGAGTCCTGCCTTAATAGCTGAATATATAGGTGATGAGTCCTGCCTTAATAGCTGAATATATAGGTGATGAGTCCTGCCTTAATAGCTGAACATATAGGTGATGAGTCCTGCCTTAATAGCTGAACATATAGGTGATGAGTCCTGCCTTAATAGCTGAACATATAGGTGATGAGCCCTGCCTTAACAGCTGAATATATAGGTGATGAGCCCTGCCTTAATAATAGCTGCTGATATAGGTGATAAGCCTTAACAACTGAACATATAGGTGATGAGTCCTGCCTTAATAGCTGAATATATCAGTGATGAGTCCTGCCTTAATAGCTGAATATATAGGTGATGAGCCCTGCTGCGGTAATAGCTGAACATATGAACTGAACATATAGGTGATGAGTCTTGCCTTAATAGCTGAACATAATAGGTGATGAGGCCCTACCTTAATAGCTGAACATATGGGTGATGAGCCCTACCTTAATAGCTGAACATATAGGTGATGAGTCCCTACCTTAATAGCTGCATTAATAACTGAACATATTGTCTGAGTATGGAAAAGATATTATTGTGACTCCTCTGCTACTTTATGAGTGAAAAAAAGCAGATAATAACATTTGCAAGTCCTTTGTGAAGTTATTTGTGAATGCTTAATAACGAGCAATATGTTGAGTCTTTGTTCCGAGTGAAATGGAAAAGTTTGCATTAAAAAGCAGTGATGATATATCACACAGAGGTGAATGGCACCATAAGTCAGGGGCATGATATGTTCATCAGAGACAAAAGTAAAGGTTATTGGAGCCAAGATGGAATCCTTGTTATACACGTCCTTGGTGATAGAGACAGCCATGGTATATGGAACCATCCGAAAACATTGCTTTGTGAAGATGAAAACAAACCATCAGTTTAACTCATCAGCTTAAACATAAGAGCTCAGATGATTTTAGTTACCTGTCAGGTTCCTGTCCAGAGAGTCTTACTTTGGCAACATGAAACCCACGTTCCAGGTATTGTTGCTTTCCTGATTCTATTGTGTTCTTTTCAACATTGGAGTTTCTTTTCTTAGAACTTATCTTTATCAGTATTGTACTACTTAGAATACTTAATCTAAGATGGCAAGGAAAACTCTGGTCTTTGTTACCTCAAAGGTTCTGAACCTGGTATCCAGCCATGCTTTAAAACAGACTAATCATGAATTGGGTGTTGTGATTGGTCGAGTTGGGCATTTCTTGTTTTTGATTGGTTAATCGGCTGATGTTTACTGTAGAAGTGGTTATTGCTGTGTTGGTTGGACCATCTTGTACAAATACAACTAAGTGATGGATTATGACAAGCCAAAGGTAGAATTACAGGCAGTTGGGGAAAAAATTCTCACAAAATATGGCTGTAGCTGAAGAGTCATGAACAGCTTTAGTTCTCAAGATACGGGTCATGGGAGGAATGTCTATATAAGGCAACAGAATTCAGAATTCTCATCTTCAAGAAAGGTTTTTGACCTTTGGCTTCAAATTTTAATGCAAAGTTTACACAAGTCTTAGCATTCAGTTTTGAAAGTATCTATATTTCTGTAACTTGTATCTGATGTTCATGGGTTTTAATAGTTTTGTTTCACCTCCATGAAGATCCAGATTAAAATTGGTCTCCAGGAGTCATTCTTGCCCCCCATGAACAAGAAGGTTAGAATGATCTTGTAAGAGGGATCAATCTGGTGTGGCTTGCTGACTTGGTTGATGTATGTCGTTGTCCTAATTGTGAAAATGAATGCTCATGATGTCAATCACTTGATTATCTGGTCCAAACTCAAGTATTTACAGACTAACATCAAACAGGTGTACTGAGTGCTGCATTAAACAACAACAACAACATCAAAAACAGCTTAGAATTTTAAACAATACAAAACTGAAAAATACAAAACTTAAGTTTCTTATAGGATTAGAATTGTCATATCACAAACATATGCAATGTTGTTTACAATGAGATGACACATTACAATTTTTCTCTATTTGTATGGTTTAAGGTAGGTGAGCACCCTTGGTTTCAAGTCAACATTTAGCCCAACTCACTTGATGTTCTGTATATTTGAATATGCAATTACAAGTGTGGATGTGTGCATTTCATTACAAGGTATTTTTGTTGTTGCCTGTTAGTTTTGGTGGTAACATTCCACGTACAACTTTGTTTTTGTGTTAATTAAAAAGTATCTTTTCTTCTCTTTCAGACATCGATGAGTGTGCTACCGAGGGTGGGAAAAATGGCCACCATTGCACTAGCAACACAGTGTGTGTTAATACGATTGGCTCGTACACGTGTCAGTGTGCTGCTGGTCACAACCGATTGGACGATTATACGTGCGAAGGTAGCAGGTGTTTTTCACTGGGAACTTGTGTGAAGTTGATATTGTTGTGCCTTACGCTGTATCTCACGCTGTACATATAGCCAATGTCATGTCATCAGTCGACAACTGTGTAAAAAATTGTTGATAAAAGACAAAGTTGTTGTTGGAAGGAAATGGCCGCCATCTATTTTCTAGGAGAATACAAAATATTCCAAAGGTGTACAGACATTTTTGGTAAGTTATTGTGACTATTCTACCTCTGGAAGTCTTGGCTGTATGGCCCCTCCCAGACAGGAAGGTGGCGCCCCCTGGATGTACTGTAGGAGTTGTCTACCCTTCTGTCTGGGTTGGGGGTAGATTTACAGAGAATAAATCCCATTTCCAGTTTACACAACAGAGTTTATTCTTCTTTTCTTTTCTTAACACTTTCCAGTAGACATGAAACCTAAGTCAGTTTCAATGCATGCTTTGAATAACATTTTGCAGTTTGCAAAATAAATTTCAGACGAAGATATAGCATGTTTGAACAGTCTGACATACAAACTTCCTGGAATGCTTTATTGATACACACTGTGGTAAACTCGATTAAATTGTCCATTGTGTGTAGCAAAACTCTCAAACACTACAAGTTGTCCATGTGAGTGTCAATGTTCTTGTCACACAGGCTTAAAACTAGATTCTGTTCAAGGCGTTCTTGATTCTGTCAGAGTTCCATGATGTTACTGGAATATTGCATAAGGTGCCATAAAACCTTCTTATTTCATCCACCCTTTTGAGGAGAACAATACAAAACACAGAGTTGAACATGAAACACGAGATTCACAAAAATAAGTAAACGAAAGTTTTATTTGCTTCAAGCAGAATATATATTATTTGCTGATAATCAGAAAAATGGAGTGAGCTGGCAGCAGATCATAGCGCCTTACTCTTTAATGTGAATGGCAAGCACTCAGAAAACATTACAAGGTTCATTCAACTTCTGAGAGTTGATATTTTGACAAAGGGTCACTTTACAAATTGTAGTTGTCTTTTCTTGCCCTCATCCACCTCTTAGTACGTAGATGATGTAAACTTAGCCAAGGTCATACACTGTTTATAGATATTGCTTCTTAATTAATAGATGGTCATTTGGAAACATTTATGTAGGTGTAAATTGAGCAAATGTGTTGCAAACATTTTGAGAATTTCTCACATCATGGCACATACATACCTCAGTAGACGAGTAGAAGAAGAAAGAGATAGGGTGTAATTCCTGCTTATGCCAAATGTTTGGTCAGCATGCTGAGCTGGCATTGCCAGACACCTTTGATAGACCTCTGATCCCATGTTGGCAACGTCTGCGTCCCTCCCCCCAAGATTGGGTTGCCTCACCCCTCATTATCCTGCTTGTACAACCCCAGACGAGGACTGGTCCATACTGTTTGGCCGATCCCATAAAAATACCTCACTAGTGTTCTGCCTTCCCTGCTTCCTAACTACAGCCCTCGGTTCTATCCAGTTTGATGCTAGAGCAAAGAACAGATCTAATTTTTGTCAAATATAATGGTTATGGTTAACAAAATCTAGGATTTCCCTGCATGAGTTAGATTGGAGAATAACACTGCCGTGTATATACCTCTACCTTTTACCTTGTCATGTACTTAAGGTTAAACATAATAATTTTTCTTAGCTACCTTTCTATATATTTTTCTCTTTTTGATTTGCTAATGTGTCAATGTGATCATTTTGGCAGAATATTTTTCATTCAATCCTTTTGTTTTTCTTGGTTAATATATATATATATATATATATATATTATGTTAATTATACAAAAACTTATTTTTCATTCTTCAGTTTGACAAGGGGGTATTGAGTTGTGAAAGGAAATGTGGATTTGTCTCTGTAATGTCACTCTTGAAATTCCAGAGATGTGAAATTACTTGAAAAGTTGAATAAAATGACATGATTGGTTTATTGTTCAGACAATTGTTTGTTTAATCTGCATGGCCCTGTTTTCTCCAAGCTTAACTCATGTGTATAAATTATGCAAATTTGGTTTGTTTCGCCAAATGCTTATGCTTTGCACCTGTTCGTTTCATTCTCCATGTTTCAAAAGTTCAAACTGTTTTCAATGTTCAGTTTCATTTAAGTTCTCTTGCACATTATATTACAAATATTTTATCCCTTGAATCAAGTTGAATTTATGCCATTTTGATTTGTTCTAATATCTATTTCATGGAAACATTACATCAAATAATAGATGTTTTAAAATAATGAAACAATTTACATGTGGACAGGTATAATGCGAAATTGTTTTAACTTGAAGTTATGATTTATATAGGAAAACAAAAACAGCCTATGGTTAGACCGTAATAAAATGCCAGTTGCATGTACATGAAAGATTCATGTAAAGCACAATGGGTCTCTGTAAGGATTGCAATATTCGTGTTAACTTTCAAGGAGGCAGGTTGGCTATTATAGAGGAACCTGACATAGAGGAGTTACATTGGGGAATTACTAGACATAGCAGTGAGAATGGCATAATACAGTATGGTATAATGGAGAGCGCCATACAGGATGGCATAATAGGGAATTATAGATGATATTGAGTGTCATGTCGTAATGACCTTGTGGATGTCATTATCAGGAATAATGAATGATATTAGGGGCCATTTGGAAGTTTAATTTACAAGCCAGACATGTTAAAAATTCTTTCAGTACATATTACCTGTAGCTATGGTGTCATGTCTGTGATTTAGAAGATAAAACCTTTTTTAAATGGAATATACATAAAATGGAATTATATTGATAAGTAATGAATAAATTCAAGGATGTGAGCAGTCATTACGATAAAAACCAACTCAAAACTGCACTACAGCACTTCTTGAGGCCAAAACATCAACATTATATGTCTAGAATTTCAAGGATAGTAGTGCTAGAAAACATTCATAAAGGTGGAGCAAAGACTACAGGTGACAGGTGAAACACTAGCTCACTAAGTTAGCAGTATTTGCTGTGATTTTCACTGCAGATTCTGTGTGTAAATGACTTTGTTCGTTTCATGTATGGTGACCTAGATGAGTGGGAAGTATCAGCTGGGATGTAGCATGATTTTTTCTAACCTCACCAATACATTTCATTGAACTGGGCCTAGATTTTCGAAGCTCTCTTAGCGCTAAGATAGTCGTAAGTGCCATACATTAACATAAACTTACGACTATCCTAGCGCTAAGAGAGCTTCGAAAATCTAGACCCTGGAACCTAGAGCTCCTGAACAAGATTTGGAGGTGGGGAATATACTTCATATAGATTATGATTAGACCATTTTGTTAACTTGTTTGATTTGGGAGACTAGATGATCATCAGCTTGAAAACACTACAATTCTGAATCGGCCTGACTGAGGATTCCCACTTGGTGGTGATAATCAGCAGCACAGAGGTCGTGAGCACTTGGTTGGGTACAGCCAAGTCCATGATGGACAGGTACTGTAACTATTGGTGGCAATTGTGATTACATTTACCTAATCAGTGTAAATGTTGGTCTACAGTTCTGTGTTGATAGTAGCCTGATGTTGGCCACGTGCACTGGTGGTCTGCTGTGATAGGTATGAGGCTGTTGAGTGTGGACGGAATGGGTGCTGGGACGATCACTAAACTTCACAGTAGTTGGGTATCTGTAGGACAGGTAGTAATAATGAAAATATGGACAGTACTCCTGTATTTAGGTCGGTGACATGGAGGGAGAGGTGTATGATAAGGTGACAGGTGTATGGCAAAGAGGGTAGGGTTAATAGCAAGAAATGGTCAATGGCAAGGAAAGAGGGGTCATTGGCAAGGAGGAGGAGCTCTATGGCAAGGAGGAAGGGATGTTTGTCGAAAGTGGAAGGAATTGTATGTCAAGGAAAGAGGGACGTTTGTCCAAAGGGGGAGCAAGGGATATATAGCAAGGAGGAAGGGATGTTTGTCGAAAGTGGAAGGAATTGTATGTCAAGGAAAGAGGGACGTTTGTCCAAAGGGGGAGCAAGGGATATATAGCAAGGAGGAAGGGATGGTTGTCCAAATGGTGAGGAATTGTATGGCAAGGAAAAAGGGATATTTGTCCAAAGAGAGAAGAAGGAATAGAAAGCAAGGAGGAAGGGATGTTTGTCCAAAGAGGGAGGAATTATATGACAAGGAGGAAGGGATGTTTGTCCAAAGAGGGAGGAATTATATGACAAGGAGGAAGGGATGTTTGTCCAAAGAGGGAGGAATTATGTGACAATGAGGAAGGGATGTTTGTCCAAAGAGGGAGGAATTATATGACAAGGAGGAAGGGATGTTTGTCCAAAGAGGGAGGAATTATATGACAAGGAGGAAGGGATGTTTGTCCAAAGAGGGAGGAAGGGATATATAGCAAGGAGGAAGGGATGTTTGTCCAAAGAGGGAGGAATTATATGACAAGGAGGAAGGGATGTTTGTCCAAAGAGGGAGGAATTATATGACAAGGAAAGGGGATGTTTGTGCAAAGAGGGAGGAAGGGATATATAGCAAGGAGGAAGGGATGTTTGTCCAAAGAGGGAGGAAGGGATATATAGTAATGAAGAAGGGATGTTTGTCCAAAGAGGGGAGGAATTCTATGACAAGGAGGAAGGGATGTTTGTCCAAAGAGGGAGGAATTATATGACAAGGAAAGGGGATGTTTGTCCTAAGAGGGAGGAAGGGATATATAGCAAGGAGGAAGGGATGTTTGTCCAAAAGGGAGGGAGGAAAGGATATATAGCAAAGGAGGAAGGGATGTTTGTCCAAAGAGGGAGGAATTATATGACAAGGAGGAAGGCATGTTTTTCCAAAGAGGGAGGAAGGGATATATAGGAAGGAGGAAGGGATGTTTGTCTAAAGAGGGATGGGAATTATATGACAAGGAGGAAGGGATGTTTGTCCAAAGAGGGAGGAAGGGATATATAGCAAGGAGGAAGGGATGTTTGTCCAAAGAGGGAGGAATTATATGACAAGGAGGAAGGGATGTTTGTCCAAAAAGGGAGGAAGGGATATATAGCAAGGAGGAAGGGATGTTTGTCCAAAGAGGGAGGAATTATATGACAAGGAGGAAGGGATGAGGTCCAAAAAGGGGAGGAATTATATGACAAGGAGGAAGGGATGTTTGTCCAAAAAGGGAGGAAGGGATATATAGCAAGGAGGAAGGGATTATGTGTCCGAAGAGGTGGGAATTATATGACAAGGAGGAAGGGATGAGTGTCCGAAGGGGGAGGAAGGGATATATAGTAAAGAGGAAGGGTTGTTTCTCAAAGAGTAAGGGGTGTTTGAAAAGGATGAAAGGGTGTATGGCAAAGAGAATGGGTTGTTTGGCCAAAAGGAAAATGTGTATGACAAGTAGTGAAGTGTGTGGAGCAAGCAGCAACGGATGGCGGCA